TGTCTTGCGCTATGAACAAATGGCTGTAAAATGCCGGCGAGCTGTGACTGGCTGAGTTCCTCAAAAGTCATTCTTAAAATGAAACCTCCGCACTTCATTCCATATTGTGAGTTTTGGGGGGAGGGGGAGGTTGACCTGTGACTTCACCAATATTAACTTTCCTTTTCAACCGAAGGAGGAAAGATGGTAAGTTTAATAAGATTAAATATGGTATGAGGAGCGCTAATAAACCCTGAACCTGTTCCAGCTCCCCGAGAAGGAATATGGCTATAGTTTTCACAGGAAAGATCAGGGCTGTAGCTTCGAGTAACGCTCATCTTCACTGGTGCACTTTTAACTCTCCTTTTTGAAGTAAAAGTAATTAGAGGGGGGACATTAAACTTCCTCTAATTTAGTTCTCTCTATAAAAAGGGTAAATTAAAAGCAGTGGCATTAAGGATGAAAGTCTTATTGATCCGCAGGCTGGGCTGCGCAGCCCAAAAACAGCTGGGAGACAAAAATAATACTATGATGCTGGAAGGTGTTAAACACTGCCGGCAAACACGGCTTTGAGCTGCGGGCGGCCGTAAACCTCCGTACAGCTCGGGAGCGTCACTGTCCCCTCAGTCAGGTAAAGCAGAAGAGGCAACTGCACTCCCTTATGCAGTAAGACAACCAGAGCAATAAAAGCTGCCGCCAAGGCACTCTGCCACATGGGAAAAATTTAACAAAGACAGAAAACAAAAAAATGGGACTGCAGAGGTTGCACCGGACACCGAGGTCCTGAGCAAGGCTGGCTGCTTCATAATCTGTGTAATAATTCAAAATTTAGTAGCTCAGTATTTCTAATAAAGGAGTGAAAAGAAAGGCTTCGAACACAGATGAGGCAAATCTAAGCCACTCTGGCTGGGGCCCTCTGAGAAGATCCTCATGGGCAGTAGGCACTAGTGTCCAGAGTCTTTCCAAATGCAGTTACTGAGCTACACGTACAATGAGAATTAGGCTATTCTTCGAGCGCTTTACCCAAGGCCTCCTGAAGTGATGAAATGAATCCTAACGACTTCAGTCAGCGCTGGCTTTGGCTCCACAAGCCTCAGGCCTTTCCCCGCTCCCCTAGGAGGGCATGGCAACTTGTTGATGAGTGGGCAAAAGACTGCATTGCTAGTCTGCAAAATGCCATGACTTCCAAGTCTGATATCACGGGGCCTGCCAGGGAAGGAAAAAGCCAGCGTGATGTGCCTCACTGGGAACTTCAGATTCCTCCATTTTCCAAACAAATGAAGTTCTCGTTCTCACGCTGCAGGAGAAAGTGAGATGCCAGATTCTATGCTTTTACCTGACGCCTGTGCGGGTATTTCTCACCCCGGACGTGACAGCAGCTTAATCGAATAGATGACATTCCAAATTCGGTGGGAAGGGAGCACGGAACTTATTTATTTAGACAGTTGCCTTCTTATCTTAAAAATAACAGCTGTCAGAGGTTGTCCCGCAGTTTGCAGACTTGCTCCTAGCAGTGGTATGTTATTAAAGACACAGTGGGGAAATCAAACAGATCTGCATCATATGTAATATACTATTCATCATGTAACACCAGCTGAAATAGGTAAGTTTGGAGCCGGTTTAATATTTTGGGAGGAGAAGAGAAACGATTTAAGGCCAATGCAATAAGATGTAGATAAAAAGATTTTACTCTGCAACAATAAATTATCCAGAAGGAAACATCTCCCCTATTTTGCTAGTCAGTTCTTCACCTTTTATTGGGACAGTACTAAGAAAAACGCCTTGTCTCTTCACAGTCTCTGAATCTCACTTATAGCCAACTAATATGTGATCCAACAAGCCTATACCCCTTTAAAATTGTCATTAGCTGGTAACAATTAGTTGGTGCTAAAAGCATCCTCCTGTGCCTGAAATGCAAAGCAAATTTCATGCACATAACATAGAAAAGGAAACTAAAACTCTGGTCAGAGTGTGAATTTAAGAGGCAGTTAATGAGGCTAGTTTTCCTCTCCTTCCTTGAAGCTGACGTCACCGAGGCCCATGACATTGCTCCCACCTTGCACAGCTCTGAGGAGGCAGCTGGAGCTGGAGCTCTGCTCAGAGCACCGGGATTTTCTCCAAATCTGAGAAGGTTTGTCTGGTGTGGCGAGAGAACAAACCACTGGCCTCCGACATACGTTAATGTTCCCATCATTTCTGTCGTTACTGGAGCCCACTGAAACTGGAACGCTTGGAAAACGTTGATGAAAAAAGTCTCTGTAGACACTCTAGGTCTAAATGTCAAACACTTGAGTCTGAGTTCCCATCTTTATATTGACACGATGCCAGTGACTGCAGTGGACTCACTCTTGATTTATTTTGGCATGAAGGGGAGGAGGATCTGTCTCCTGGTTCTGGGCTTAACTCCGCTCAGAATTCATGGCACGACATCGAGTAAATCAGTCTTGGACTTCTCTAAAACCAGAGCAATAATAATCAACCAAGAACATCACTTCGTCTCACCGAAGCTAAGGATTTGGCTTATGGAGGTGACGTGCTGGAGGAAAGGGAGATGCAGAGACATACGGCTGGGGAGAGGGAGGGGGCAGCCCCACTGAGCTAGCGTTAAGAAACAGAGTGACAAGTACCTTTGCTGATTTGAGAATAATTTAGGGCTTTGCTGCTCAGCCTTGCTTGGAATTTCACATTATCTGAGGCCGACCCTGAGGACATGTCAGTAACTGCTAGCCGGGGAGAGAATCAAAATCTGCCCTTGTGTTATTGCAGCACAAGTCGGATAGTCTTGGAGTGACCTTATCTTGCTGTCTGACCACTATGTGCCATTGATTTTTAATGTAAGATTCCTCTTCATATGTGTGAGGCTGAAATCACACAGATCAGAGCCCATTACATCTGTAAGACATTTACAAAAATACTTCCAAATGTATTAGATAAAAGATTATTTTAAGAGGCTGAGGAAGAACAAGCTTTTCCAGTCTTCCCAGCATATACAATTAAAGAGGAAAGAACATTTCAGATGCAGTCAGGGAACATATTTTGCTATAATCAGATAACTACACAGTGCCCTGGCACAGTAACTAGGCTGGGCTCCAGGAGTCTCTATGTAGAATAAAACGATTCACCCAGGCGCCAGCCTCCCTCCTCCCCCCTATTAGAAAGTCTCTCCAGAAATGTCTTCAAGCTAGTGCAAGCTGCAGTGTCTTGCATG